TGTCTCACCAGGGTTCAAGTCCAAGTCCTGGCAGCCTGTTTTCTTACTTTCTCTCTTTGTATCTCTCTGGTTAAATTAAAAATATATAAATAAAATTAAATAAAATAATTCCTTTTCTTTCTTTCTTTTTTCTTTCTTTTTTCTTTTTTTTTGAGAGGTTTTTGCTATAGGGTACATGCACTTGCCAGAAAGTTAGAGACAGAGAGACAGAAAGTGAGAAATCACCCCTGGGAGGATGGCCACGCTGCAATCCCTTCTCCATTCTCCTCTCAGGATCTTGGGTATATATGCACATGCGCCCGGAATGAGTTTAAGCCACTGGGTCCAGGACTTGAACCGCAGTCGACTACACGTGTGTCCAGCAACATAGCCATTATGTCAACCGCTGGTCTCAAGAACCTGCGGATTCCAGTATGATTTTCAAGACACCTTCACAGGGTCTTGAACCACAGGTCAGACATGTATGAATCCAGCACCTTAACCACCACATCATCTGTTGGCCCCAAACTTTGGATTTTCTTATCTGTGTATGACCCAACCTGGATTTGTGTTTGGAGTGAGAGAGACCAAGCATTAATTTAGCGTCTTCTGTATGCTAAATTCTTTTCTGAGATTTGACATAGGGCGCACGTGCTAGCCGGAGAAAGGGAGAGTGAGAGGGGAAGGGGGAGCAAGGAAGAACCCTCCACATCGCCCCCCATGCCACACCACGGTCCCTTCTCCATTTCTTCATCCTGTTGAGGTGTGGGGCACACAGGTACATGTGCCCAGTGTGCGTTTTAAGCCATTGAAACTGGGTTTGGCCCGGTCAGCCATCTGGGATCTGGCTCCCTTAACCACTAGGCCTTGCAACCAGTCCTGTTCTTTTTTTTTTTTTTTCTTTTTTTTTTTTTTTTTAGTGGTTTTGTGTTAGGCGCTTAGCCTCGTCAGACAGACAGACAGAGACAGAGAGACAGAAAGCGAGAAATCACCCCCCAGGGGGGATGGCCACCACACTGCAATCACTTTTCCTCCATTCTCCTCTCAGGATCTTGGGCACGCATGCACATGCGCCCAGCGTGAGTTTAAGCCACCGGGTCCGGGACTTGAACCGCGGTTGACTACGTGGGAGTCCAGCGACATAGCCATTACGCTAACTGCTGGTCCCGCAACCAGTCCTGTTCTGAGCACTTGTTAATGATTCTTTTCAAAGGCCCTATGAGGTGATACTATTATTACCCACCACCGTTTTCTTTTTTTAAAGAATTATTTACTTATTATTATTATTACTTTTAAATTTGCTATAGGGCATGTGTGCTCACCAGAGGGA